AACTTTTTTTTTAGCAAATTCAAGTGCCGAGGATTGCTACTGGGTGTTATATAATTTCGAGATTGAACTTGTATATAAAATTTTGCAAGCCTATAATCTTGACTACCACCATCATGAATATGAGAAAAAATAAATTTTGAACCCCCCAAAGCAATCTAATTCATAGTTTTTTCACCATTTATATTTTAATTATTCAAGACCATCATATTTGTACTATTTTTGGAACTCCAAATGCATAGTTTTACACACAAATAAAAGAGGTTGTATACTGTGAGACTATTTAACTTTACTATATAAAGAGGTCACTATTGTTGCTAACCATTAGATGGTTTGGGTTGTGTTACAAATTTTGAAAAAATATTTTTTGAATTTTGGGTCTAATAAATGACACTCACAAATTGCTTGTTTTGAAATCTAATTGACAAAAATGATTCCGACCTCCTTATATTAAAAATAAATTGTTTATTTGTATACTTTTACACTTTTCTAAAATATAAAAAGATTGTCATGGAATGTCTATTTTTATTTTTTATTTTTTTAAAAACAAATGTTAAAGGAATTATGTAGGCAGTCTAGGGTTTGAATCCCTTAAAAGTCATGAGTAAGACAGCTCACTGAGTACTTGCCCACAAAGAATATACCTTAGTAATTATCCTTGTGGCCCACCAATCATTTGAGTAATTGAGGGATTGTTTTAGCGCTCATAATGTGTGTTAATTAACATGGGGACGGTTGGTCGGCAGCCAATCATAATCCTTTCTAATCACTGATGATATATAAATTCATTGATTAGAAGAAATTTAAAAGTAGCTTTTAATCCATTTATTAATAAAAGTATGCCATGTATTTTGAGTAGGCCAAAAGATATTATACTCCTGTGGGAGTATACTATCTCTTTACTCCCTCGAATAAAACCCCCTCTAAGTTTAATTTTAGGACCTTAATTTTTGGGCATGTAACCTCTTCAACCCGTAGATTAGTGTCAAGAAAAGATAATTACACCCTCCATGCACTTAAAAAAAATAATATCTCAAGATTAAATAGAGACAGTCCAATTCTTGGACTGGTGTTTAACAACTAAAAAAAAAATTCCTTTTTTTTTTCAAAAATATTCATCTTGTAAATCTAAATAAGACTACTAAAATTAAAAATTGAAAAATTCCTCTACAGTAACTTTTTTGCCTGAAGGCGTAAACATACATTATAGTCCCATAGAAATAGACCTTGCCTGCTCCCTAATAAATCTGTCTTTGAGAGAGAGAGAGAGAGAGAGAGAGAGAGAGAGAGCATATAATAAGTTTGCCATACTTCCAAATCATCTTC